AACCGTTCATATCTTAGAATCTGACCTCCTTATTGCTATTTTAATCGCATATATTGGTTCCTAGATTAATATTAATGGACCATAAAGTTTTCAAAGTCTGAAAAATGGGGTTTCGCGATATTTTTTTTAATAATTTGTTTGTCGGATTTTGGTTTTAATAGTTTTTAAGGTCCTGTCCTCGCGATATATTTTGCAAAACCTCCTTTTTATTATTCTAAAGTTATTTGGGATGTTCTGAATCCGGGACGACTATATCTAATACTCTCATTTTGAGATTAGGACCAGAAATTACCATATATTAAATGAAATATTGCTGGAGAATGTATTGAACGTAAATGTGAGAAAAAAATTCGCGAAAAAATGACGTGGTTTATTAGAATCGTCGCCAAACCGCTTTTAGTATGTGGTTTCCCGCAATGGTAACTATAAAAAGACAAAGCGTGTGTTATATAATGATTTTTTCAAAAATAATAATAAAAAAGCAAAATACTTTTTTGTGATAATCATTTTTGGGTTGGTATAGATTTTGGCCGATATCTTCGAGACCAATAGGTTTTTCGCAGTGATTCTTGCAGAAATATGTCCACAAACATATCCCATCATACATAATTCATTTTACATCTTTAGTATGCTGGCTTTAAGCGTATAAGAATTTTGTCAAATTTGTATTGAGGCAAAATACTTATTACACTCACTGTAGGTTAATTAGATGCAACGGCGATTACACGTAAATTTTTATAGGGATGATGCGTATTTGTAACCAAATCAGTAACACAATTGTAAGCAATATTCCGGGTGGTTCGTTTTTATATCTTAACGCATTGCAATATGAACAAACTTTATCCATTGGACCAATTGAAGTTTAAAATTGGGTTATAATTAAATGTGATGCCTTCATAGACGTGAATACGTTGTTGATTCTGCACTCTATATGAATCACGTTCCTCTAGTGTTTGGTTTATTGTATGTTGCGCACTTCTGAAGCGTTCATTTCTGAGACGCCTTTCACGTTCAACAAATGCCTCATTATCTCATGAGGTGGATAATTTGAACCGTTGATAGCTTAGACGTATATCATGTTGTGTTGGTGTCTCGTTAATTCTGGATGTAGAAGTTCGAACTGCTTGATAAAAAAAGCGGGTTTGCCGATGTTCAGGTGTCTCGTGAAATCTTAAGGTTGATTTTGGTGGTGCTGTGATTCATTAGCACGTGATGTGTACGCTAATAATCTTTTTAAAATCGATCATTGTGTTGTTGTAATGTTTCAGCAGATTTTGAAGTAGAAGCTCGATCACTATTATTTCTCATTCGCAATTCATGTTGTATTCGAGTTTCTTCTTTGAATATGCACAGCATTTGCCTTTTTAGCATTTTTGGATAGCGATGATTTTTTTGGATGCATTTTTTAAACTTTCGGTTTGTTTTTTTATTTTTATTTATTTTGAACAATAATATTTGATTTTACATTGAACTGTCAAACGTCCTGAATATATATTTTGGATTTATGTGATAGTTGCAATGTCAAAAGGCGAACTGTCTAGTGAGAGGAACTAATTTTCGACTTTAAATTTTCGTACCATATTTCCGCTTTTTGATGTCCCCCTCATCATACCACGCCCACGTTTTTTAGGGATTATGCGTACTTTCATCCATGTTACTCAGGAAAATATTCTGTATCTGTAAAAATATTGAATTTTTCTGAGCTATGATAACATTTGATGCTATAGCTCAGCATCCACGCGGAATTTCTGTTGTTTATCTCGATTATTTTATTTCTTGTGAATGCCATAACGTACGGTGGAAAATTAGAAACAAGTATATTAAGTAGTTTTTTAGTTTTCAAACGATTTGTTTTTATTGTTGGTATTTAGATAAATGAAATTCAATGGATAACATATTTTTCTCTGATCGTACAAAGCTAATTTTTGTGTGGATGATGTGTATTGACACATATGTTACTCCGACAAATTCTGAAGACGGTATCTGTAACCGTTCTTAAGATATACGCATATTTCATGTTCCGAGTTTTTGGGGTAAGTTTACTATTCTTGCTATAACACAGGACCCACGCGGAATTTTTGAAGTTTATCGAGCCTATGTTACTTTCAGGGCTCGTCATGACATTCTGCGTAAATCTCATTAACATCTGTTCAGCGGTTTTTGCGTCTATCGGGAACATAAAACAAACAATTTTTTTCTGTTTTATATATATCGATACAATTTAATGGTGCTTATAATAGTCTCGTTTGAAATGATTGAATGCTGTACCATAGAGTCTCATTAATGAGAAAAAGTATGGCAAACATATTTTCGCAGAGTCGCATGCTATGCTATTTAGATAACTGTAGTTGATGCCCTATATTAGAGTTGGGTAGTTCCGGAACGAACTATTTCATTAGAACTATTCCGACAAAAGAACGATCGGAACTTGTTCCAGCTCATTAATAAATGTAATTCCTTTTTAGATCTCATTCTTTTTTTAATCCCGTTTCTTTCGATGATGTCGTACCTTAATTCCCACATTCTTCATTCGTTCTCATTAGTTTTTGAAATGCTGTCAAATTGTACACATTATATATTTATTATTATGTAAATAGAAAATTGTTAAATTTATTTATTTAAAATATATTTATTTATTTAAAAATATTTTGTATTGCATTTGACTTCTGTAGCTTCTGAATATTCTACTAAATAGAAATTGTTCAAATCAAATTCATTTATTAACGAATCAACACGGAACATTATGAGCGAAAAAGAACGATGGAACTTTAAAAAAAGAACGAGAAAGATAGAACCGCTACGTGAACTAGATTGCCCAAATATATACTCTTTATGCAAAACAATATGTGAGACCTACTGCAGGTGAATGTAATGCTGATAAGAAAAATTTTCGATAAATCTTATTTAGAAATACATATGTTCGAATAAAAATTGGAATTGATTCCGAAAATGTCTTTCGCAAATAAATGATTCGTTATTAAGGTGTTTTGCATAATGAGATATATTTATGATAAACATTTCACACGAATCCGACAATTCTTCATTCTTTATACGGAATTTATTAATGTACATTCATTGTAGGGTTTGTGAGCAAGGATCGGATAAAAAATGGAGAGGGACAATGAGAACATACGAATATTGATTTCTTGTCTTTGGTGGACCTTTTATAATTTATATGAACCATGTTTTTAATTAAATTTTTTAAGTTCGACCGGGCTGAGTTTTATTTATTTCTACCACCATACAGTTTTGCCATTTTTGCCGATTTATTAGCATTTTGAAGTAAATTTGAAAAAAAATTTGGAAAGAATACGAGGACTATAATTTGGATTTTCCAGTTTTCTCTAAAATTGTACAAAGAATTATGGTTCTTCCACGCTCCTCAGCAAATGTGGAGCGCATTTTTAGTCCTTAACAAAACTAAAATTAGAAACTCACTCGACAATGATTAATTAGAAGTAATTCTTTGTACTAATTATCAGCTCAAACTAAATAATTCGAATTGTTTTTAAGTGATTCGAGTTGAGCTTAATGATATAAGTTTTACAATGAAAAGGAAAGCCAGGAGAAGAACCTACGTACCCACCATTATGCGACGCCGTTGGTTTATCGGCTCATCAGGCATATTGGGCTATGTGGCTTTAAAAAGGTCGTATGTTGATAACTTGTATTTATTACGCCCTGATGCGAAACTTGCATATATATATATATTTTATAAACAGTTTTAATATCAAAATTTATTATGCGTTTTATATATATATATAACAATTTTATACCATAGTATGGAGTGTATGTTAATTTTGCCATTCCGTTTGTAACTCATTGCCAATATATATATATATATATATATAACTATTTATAATCAGGGTAAACTTCTAAAACTATTTAACCATGTCAGTGCGTTTTTTGTAATCAAGCTATCTTCTGAAGGAATTGAGATTTTTTTTGCAGTAGTTTGGCACATTGGGTTCTTATTGAGTACCAAATCTTCATACTGAAAATTTGTCAATATCGGTACCTCCAAATTGTCCTTATTTTTGGGTTTTTGAGGGCGTTTTTCAATCGAATTCGCTGTATTTTGGAATTTTTGATTCGTATTTGTTAAAATTCTGCCAAATTCGCTATAATTTGGAACATTGCGTTCTTATTAGGTACCAAATCTCCATACTAACAATTATCAATATCGCTCCATTTTTTTTGGTAGCCCCCATATAAAGCTACCCCCAAATTTTTGGTATTTTGGGTTCTTATTAGAAAAAAACAAAACTAAAATAGAACATAAGGTTCGAGAACGAACTAGCGTTTAGTTCTACACCCAATATAATGGATACCCATCGATTTTTATTATTTAGCGTGAACTTGCAGTATTTTGAGGATTTTATACGCATGTTCCACCCTACCGTTCGTTGCCAATATCGGCCCACGTTTTGAGGTTTTCAGATTTTAGGGAAAATCTCCATTGCTGAAATTTGTATTTGGTGTACATTATGGTTCACAAGAATCGCTTGGTACAATTTTAGGAGTTTAGTAATGAATTATTTTTCAGTATTTAAAATTAACTTCAAAATTTCCTGCCGTTAGAATTTGTACAATTCAATATTTCAAATCTCTAACCCAAAGAAATTTGGGAGTACTCCTTGAATCCTATGTTTATATGTGTGGATATGACGTGTAATATGGGGCAATAGACAGACGTGAAGTCTGTCTGTACGACTTACTACTGATGCTGGCATCACTGCCTGTATTCTGTTGATGAAATATCATGCCTAATTTCAAGCCTTCAAGAGCAATGTGAATAGCAAACAATAGATTGAGGATAGCTGGATTCATTCGGTAACATCACCTTGAATGCATTTTCTTTTATAAAAGAAATTCCCTCATCTGGAAGGACTCAAAAATCGACCATTATCACAAATGTCGCAAACAATTAGTAACAATTTCGTATTATTTCTTATTTCAGTTGTTTTATTTCGGTGCCAATTAAAGTCGTGCCTTATCATTTATAAATCTCCCAAAATACTGAAATAGATTTTCACATCCGCTTTCCAATCATTGTAGGCAGCTACTTTCATTTGGAACATGTAATCACCACGTGGTAATGGAAAATATTTAAATTTACTCTCATCCAGAACTAAGTTATCCACAATTATGTTGTGCTGAAAAGAAAAAGGAAAGGGATGGGGACATGTAACAAGATAATTAAAGTATAGGGTCGGTCTGAATACAAAAAACCCTGAACCACACAAATTTGAAAATTGAACTATTTTACAATGAGAAATGATATATAGGTCCAAGTTTTTCAATTTGAGATCTACAAAAATTTAGATTAACTTACATCATAGGGACATGTATGATTGACATTCGACTCCTTGAGTATGGCATCTAGAAATAATTTCGCATGCATTATTCGATTTCGATTTTTCATGAATTCACAAAAGTCGTAGGTGCTATTGTACAAAAATGGCCGATAACCACTCAATTTTTTAAAAAACGACAAATTAATCTGAAAAGAGATAAAAACAAGACGACAGACAATATGTTGAGAAATCACATGTTATGCCCCCAAAACCTACTCACCGTTGAATGATTAACAGGTCCCTTTAGCAATTTCACATTAACATTTAACGAAATTATATCACGTTTGACCACAGAAAGCCGGCATACTTCAAATATTGCGAAATCGGGTTTCAAGCTTTCACATTTCAAATTTGTGAAACGCATTTTAACACCCAAAACATTTAGGCTGAACCATGCGATGAATAAGACCGCTAAAAACGATTTCATTTCAATGACTGACGGGTAACAGACTGATGAATTGCGCATAATTCGCTATAATTTAAAATTTTCTTTGAACATATTAATGTCGTTTTAATTACATTTGCTTTTTTTTGTTATGGAGCGAGGTTACAATAAATTTAACAAAATGCTTATGATTTAATTTGGAAACTATTTAAAGGTGGAATTATTTTTAAACGAACAAAGTATAATACCTGTAATTAATGACATTTTCCAAATTTTCAAATTTATTTTTAATAGCTTTATTATTTAACACGTTCGATGATTCATAAAATTTTGATAAAAAATAGAATCAAACATAAACAAGTAAAAAAAAGCGTCAAGTTCGGCCGGGCCGAACTTTGGATACCCTCCACCATAGGAATACTGACAGTTACTTGAAATGAAAATATGGGGAACATACCAAAAAGTGGGCATATAATGTCAATTCTACCAATCGATTGTTGCAAATCTTAACACTGTAGTACAGGGTATTATGTCTTTGTTACAGGCAAAAGGAAATCAGATAGACACATGTTTCCTTTTGAGAATATACATATAATAAATTTATGATTCGATTTGTAAATATCTGTCCGTCTGTTTGCCCATTTTAAATTGTAAACAAAGTACAGGTCGCATTTATGATCCGAATTGAATAAAGTTTGGCACAGCTTTATTTCGCATTAGGACGAACCCAATTCAAAATGGGGAATATCGGTTCATATTTAGTTATAGCTCCCATATATAGCATCGTCCGAATTTATGTGTAAATAGTCCACCAAAGACCCAAAGTTAAGCCGATTGGGACAAAATTTTGCACAACGTACTCAAGATACTATAACATAACGTGTGTACAGTTTTGTTAAATTTTTTCAGATTTTGATATAGCTCCCATATATATTATCGTCCGATTTTATGCAAATGATGTACCAAAGACCCAAAATATGACGATAGCAACAAAACATACTGAAATTTGTACAACTTATCCCGTGACAAGTTTCGTTGAAATCGATTCATATTTAGATATAGCTTGCATATATTTTAAGCAAATGGTGCACCAAACTCCTCATGTTTGTCAGAATGACATGCAATTTTGCACAACGTACACAATTGGCATCACAATATCTTTCTTCACGCTAATTATTAAAAACACCGAAAATGGATAGGTATCACAATATGGGGGAAAGTCCTAACTGGGCCTGATGTATTATATTTCATTCTCGAACCTGGCCGTTCTAGTTTTTTCCTCGATATCCCCCGATGGTAGAATGATTAACACTAGAAAGACTGGAGTTTTGTATATACCTATACGGCCTAAAATCGTCAAAATGACCTCATTGTGAAGAAATATTTTTACACTTATTTTTTAATATTACTTACATTATTTACAACCATACAAAATGTTGCTATTATTTGTTTTCGGTTGGAGGGCTCTCGAGTTTCTCTTTTTGAAAAATAAGAGCGCAGACAAAATGTTTGAAAAAGAGTAAGTGTTTACTCTAAGAGTGAAATCGACTAGAAATATAAAATTTATTTTTCCCGATTTATGTGGTCGTTTGTGTTTCTAGAATAGCAAACGGTTTTCGATGTTGTTCTACTGATCTGGTCATATAAGAAATTTACTGTATATAAATATATGTAGTTTGATTACTTAATATTTCACAAGAGGTCAAAATGACCGATTTTAGGCAATATAGGTATATCACATGTGAATACGGTGAATGGAAGAGAGGGGAAGTAGCTACTATGATAAATAAACGTAGTTCTATGTGGTACAAAAAGTCACCACAGTTTAAACTAGTTGTGTCATAATATACACAATTGTTTTTGTACTTGAAATTGGAAAACGGTCAAAATGACCGCCTTCGGCAATCTAGTGTTAAAACAGATGTTAGCCAAAACAGATGTTAGTCTTAGAATTCTATATTTCGAGTACAGATTATATACACTACTATGATGGAATGCGACTACATGAGGATAAACCCCAAACGCGGAAAAAATCAGATAACTATTTTAATATAATTTAATTTATGTGGACTACCCCAAAAAGGGGGCGAATATTCATAATTTTTGGTAAAGAGATTTGCTACCATATACGACTACAAAATATCAAATTACAGCGAATTCGGTTGAAAAACGCGCTCAAGAACCGTAAAATACCGAAAATTTGTGGTACACTTATATGGGAGCTACCAGGTAAAATTTACCTATATTTATATTTGTTAGTGGAGAGATTTGCTACCCAATAAGAACTCGAAAAATGTGATAAAAACCCCCAAACACCCAAAATTTGGGGGATACCGTTATATGGGGGGTGTGGTACCAGAAAAAGCGGACCGATATTTTTAGTGGTGATATTCTGTACGCTATAATAACCCAATATACCGAATTTCAGTGAATTCAGTTGAAAAACGCGCTCAAGTATCCCAAAGTACCGAAAATTATGGGGTACCCTTATATGGGGGCTACCCGAAAAAATGGACCTATATTTTTAATTTTAGTGGAGAAAATTGCTAGCCAATAAGAACTCAAAGTACTAAATTACAGCTATTTCGGGCGAAAAATGTGATCCAAACCCCACAAAAACTGAAAATTGGGGGGTACTGTTATAAGGGGGTACCAGAAAATATGGACCTATATTTATAATTTTTGAAGGTACCGTTATATGGGGGCTACCAAAAAAAGTGGACCTATATTTATAATTTTTGTGGAGACATTTGGTACCCAATAAGAACCCAATGTAGCAAATTTCAGCGAATTCGGTTGAAAAACGAGCTCAAGATCTCTAAAATACCGAAAATTAGGGGTACCCTTATATGGGAGCTATGCCTAAACGAGGACCGATATAGCCCATCTTCGAACTTGACCTGCCTGCAGATAAAATAAAAATGTTGGAGATCTATATCAAATTTTTAAGACGCTAGAGTAATTACAACAGACAGACGGACACGGCTACATAATTTAGGGTCGGAAATGATTTTTTCGATGAGTTACAAACGAAAAAACAAAATTAATATACCCTCCATACTATGGTGGAGGGTATAAAAATAGAATCAAACATAAAATACAGAGAAAGATATTTATATAGTTTAGGGTATAATAGACTGCAGTATACCCTACATCATAAAATTTTTGCAATAAACAGAATATACGAGTATACTTATAAAAGAGAAGAGTGATTGACTGACTGATTCTCTGACTGACTGAAACCGCTGAAGCTACAATCTTGAAATTTGGGCTGAGGGTCTCTTGGTCCAATGGTGTCAGAAAAGTACTTATATTTGGCGAACCGGTAGACTAGGCTAGAAGTCTTAAATCTGAATTGAGGGTTACTGATGGAGTTTAGAATAGATGTAGCAAAGGATTTTTTGGGCATTCGACCTATAAGTATCCGAAAAGTACTAAAATGTTCTAAAGTTGGTACAATTTCGAAGCATGTGAACGGATAGAGCTAAAAACTTGAAATTTGGAATGCGAATTAAGGTTTAAAAGTAGGTTCGATATTAGGAGGTGCTTTTGAAAGCGTGTACTCATGTAAGTGGAAAGTACTAAGCTGTACTATATTTTGTACAATTTGTATTTGGAGAATCGGATAAAGCTGGAATACTGATATTTTAAATTAGGATAGTGTAAGATAACGATATGTATGTAGTTTTGGAAATTTGCATTTACAAAATGGTACTATATTTGCTACGATTTGGATTTGGATGAACCTATACAGCTGTTACACTGAAATTTTAAAATAACAGTAGTTTGGGAAATTCGTACATATATGTACAATTCGAATTTTGGGTGAAGCATTAGAGCTGGAATTGAGAAATTTGGAGTTAGGATCACTGTTGGGTTGTAGGATTTGGGTATGTAGGAAGTTTTGGAAATTTCTACTAATGTGTACTAAAGTTCCAAATTTGGTACAATTTGGATTTAGGTGAGCCGATACAGCTCCAACACTAAAGTTTGGAAATAATAATAATGTTGAAGTGTTGGATTGAGGGTATGGATGTAGTTCTGGAAATTTGTTCTTATGTATACTAAATGGTCCTTAATTGGAGCTGGTACTTAACTGTTGGAGTGTAGAAGTGAGGTATGTAAGTAGTTTTGTTAATTCGTACTAATGTTTACTAAATTTTTAAACAATTTGAAATTTGGGTGAACTTTTAGAACTGTAATCTTGAAATTTAGAGTTTGGGTGACAGTCGGGGTGCAGTATTGGGATATGTGAATGGTATGGTCACAAATTTGAATTTGGGTGAACCAATAGAGTTGGATTCATGAAATATGAAGTTAGGATCACTGTTGGGTTGTAGGATTGGACTATTTAGGAAATTTTTGGAAATGCATACTAATGTGTACTGAATTTGGCACAATTTAAAGTTTGGTTGAACCGATAGAGCTGGGATCCTGAAATCGAGAAGTAAGATTTCCATTAATTGTAGTTTTGAAATTCGTAGTTATGTGTATAGGAGAGTTGAATGGAATTTTTTACAGACGAACATAAGTTAGTATTTTATAGAAGGGCGGAATGGGTTTGATATAGAGCTTTTGGAATTTTTCATTGATGAGCTGGGAGTCTCTATAAAAGAACTGAAGGTCAGGAAGGAAGACGTGGAAAATGCGTGGAGTTTTTAACGATTGTTTTTAGTCCTCAGAATATCCGAGCTTGAAAGTTTGAGTTCCATGTCTGCTGTATAGGGTATCATATGGTCGGCACGTTCGCTCACTTCGTTTTTGACATGACCTGTTTTTAGTCAAATCCAATGAGAAATATTTTTGTAAAGCATGTCCACCTTCAAACTCCAGCTTTCTTGAAACGTAAACTAAATGCCTGTGGACGAGATTTTCTAATCATATACAAAAATATGGCTAGTTAAATATTATATAGGGTCCTCATAGACAAGTAATCGATATTTGTATAATTTTATAGATCATTTTTCCACTTGCTACCCGATCCTTTCTCTGAAAACCTTGTAGATTATAAAGAACTATCAGCTTCGTCTGAAATAATTACCGTAAATAAATCTTATTATGCCGTTAATAATATTTGTTTATAGGATACAGATACAAATATTTCTGATAATAAAACCGATTTTAATTAAGGCCGAGGGCATTTATCCCCATATGGAATTTTCCACCCTCGTGAGCTCCATTTTGTGTCACAATGTAATCTAATTAACCTAATAATGTACCATTAATTTAATAATGTACCATGACGGCGGTCGACTCATATCTAAAATTATAGCAATTATCGAAACTATATTAAAACTAAATCAAATCTCTTAATTTCAAAACACAACATTAATGGATCCAGACAATCAGTAATAAATATGAAATTAACTTGGACGCTTCTGATTGTGGTAACAATCGATCTAAATTCAAACATAGCATTACGATTTACAAATATAAAATGTAAATCATTTCATCCTGAATTTTCGACATTTGAAAAATGTAATTTACGAGTAATTGGTCGTGGTATAATTGGTGTAAATATTTATGTGAAATTATGGCAGCTGCCGGTGAATAATGTATCTGTAAGATTTTGAAAAAATATATTTTTAAGGATAATGGGAAAAACGACTTTTTTTAGGTAAATGCCGCCATATTCAAAAAAGCCAATGGTTATCGACCATTTCTCTACAATATGTCTGCGGATTTTTGTCATTATATGGCACATCGCAAGAAATATCCACTTTTGTCAATTTTCCATGGTCTTCTTCTCAAGGAATCGAACATAAATCATACATGTCCGTATGATGTAAGTATTTTGCAGTTAACTTTTTTTATTTATTTTTTTATTTCCTCATTCTCACTGTTTTCCAGCACGATATAATTGTAAAAGATTCAGTATTGGATGTAAGTAAACTCAAAAATTTACCATTACCACGTGGAGAATACCGTTTCGATGTGAAGGTAGGAGCGTACAATGATTGGAAAGCGGAACTAAAAGCATATCTGGATATTGGCGATGATTTATGATTTTTTTCTATAAAAGATAAAACGAAAACACGAATAATCAGACATACCGAGGATAGTAGTGAGAAAGCAATGAAAGTGGCAAACATGAATCAATAATAAAGTGTTTTCTTTTCATATCCTCAATCGCGTGTTCTAAATATTCTAAATGTCAGACACTTCGCTTGAAAAACTTTATGGGACAGTTGGATGGAGGGTATTTTAAAATATTAGCCTACATTGAATAATTTCGGAAAATATTTTTTTTTATTCACCAGCAGTTCGATATGCCCAATTATAGGTATTTCAGTTTAAAACTTAATAACATCGAGAAGGGGAAGGGGGCAGACTATACCTAAAGATGGATGAAATTGCCTCTAGTAGGAATATTTGGAATGATGCTAAACCATAAAAATACAGAAAATGGGAGAAACCATTTCATAGGAGTTATGCTTAAATATGACCTTTTAATAATGTACCTAGATATTTTCCGAAGGTCGTATGATTTCTGCAGATATACGGACTCCCATGCCTATATCGTATTAGTTTCTCATACGCCATTTCATATAAACTAATTATTAGGATCTTTGAACTCCTGTAAATTGCAAGATATATAGGGGCTTTGGTATATCATTTACCTTAAATCAGACGAAAATATCTATGGGAGCTATATCTAAATCTGAACCGATTTTTCCCAATTTCAATAGGGCTCGTCCTTAGGCCAAATAAGTGACCTATGTCAATTTTCGTCCAATTCGGATCATAAATGCGACCTGTACTTTGTTTACAATTTAACATGGACAGACGGACGGACGGACGTACATGCATAAATCGAATTAGAAAGTGATTCTATGCATATTCTCAAAAGGAACCATGTGTCTATCTCGTGTCCTTTTGCCTGTTACAAACATATGCACAAAGACATAATACCCTGTACCACAGAGGTAGGGTATAATGAATTTGTGTTTGTTTGATCTGTTTGATAGACTACTAAATTACTGAACGGATTTTCATGAAATTTTCACATTTTTGGTAACATAGGGTACTTCATTTTTGCCCCTTAATTTTATTAGATTACGTCATGTTGTAACTAGGCAATTGTAAAAAAGGGAATGATAACAAATTGAGCACATACACAAACCACATATATATATATATATATGGGCAATATTGCCAATTTTTTTAATATTCCATTTTCAAAAAATCAGCTTTTTTGTTTTTGTGGTACATCTATGATTTTTGGTACACATATAGAGAAAAATGTTCTGACTCCGAAACCGTTCGCGATCAAATTTTTGGTTGATGCGCGCAAAAGTTATCGAGGTTTTAATTTTGGGCATAAGAAAAAAATCTTAAAATTACGCCGTTTATTATATTGACCAAAAACGTTGATATATATCTTCCTCCGTAAAATAAGAATATGAATATATTATAATAATCACGATAAAGTTGCACATATTCGCGAAATATGAAAAAAATTAAAAAAATATAGCAGATTACATTAATATTTTCATTATATTAATGACATAAAAAAAAATAAAAATTAATTTAAAAATATCTACATAATCTAAACACCATGGTGAATCAAATGATATCAAAATCACACAAGTCCGTGTAGCGGTTTCTAAATCAAAGCGACAACAAAACAAGATATTGAGGAAAAATATTTGTTTTTGGTTCGAAAAAATATTTATTTTTTTAATTGTATACAACAAATTTCAGAAAAAAATGTTGGGGTTATTCTGCTATTTTACCCGAATTTCGCCGAAAAATTGACATATATAATAATAATCACTTTTTGTGTATAGTATACGCCTTGCGGATTATATCAAGACCCTTCCGATAAATCTTAGAATTCTATAAATAGGAATAAATCTTAAAATAAAATATTATTATGAAATATACATTTTAAATTGCGTGTAAATCGCGTAATTCTCAAAATCATTTGATGCGCATGCGGTTTCCAGGAAGTACTGAAGTTTATCTTCCAATCCATATATATTTTGCGAAATTTCATTTGACGGCTAAGATGTGCCGCACGTTACATTGAAGTACCCAAAAAATCGTAAAACGCGAATAATTTCCGAAAACTCCATATGCCATTAACGCGCATCCGATTTCGGTGTGCACCCTAAAAAAATACATCGATCTATACCGATTTCAATGTGGTCCATTAACAACCATGGATGTGCCAGCACAATCTATTTTTGAGATTAATTGCGTACATCTCTCTTTCGGCTGAAGTTTTTAAAGTTCTCTTTTCGAAAAAGATCAAAATCCGTATGAGGTGATTTATTGAAGCGGAAATGATACACAAAAAACACGATATTTTCAAAAACATTTTTTGCCAAATTTCGTGTTTTTGGAAGGTAAGTTGCCGCCGTTCTAGTAGATGGATTTTCACGAAGAAGATTTTATATCATCCGAAACGTAGAAAACCTTATTGATCGCGGGTACCCATATCATTCAGTTGACAGATCTAAAAAATTTGGCCCGAAAAATAGGTTTTTTAGAAATTTTCGCACAAAATTCGCACCTTCGGATGAGTATTACTCTGAAGCTGTGCATACTACATACACAAAATACATATCAAATTACGCAGATTCTACAATAATCTTATAATCGACTTTTATAAATTCCTGTTTGCGTATTAAAGCTAGAAGTAAAATTAAAAAAAACACTCAAAATCGAGCTTCAAAATGTCAGCATCATTTAAAGGTAGATGCAGTTAAAATTTTGAAAAATGATGCATAAGGGCGTAGTCCCCATTTTGTTGGCTTCTAGTTTTCTTCTGACACGAAGACCGTGCAATGAGTGGCTTAGTCACAAAACGATAGAGAACATAAAAAACTGGTTCGCCTCAACCTGTTTTTACACATTTTTTTACATTAAAGTAGACACAGCTTCCACCAAAATAAAGTTTGGAGGTCAATATCATGAACAGTTTGCAACGACAGATCAATTAACCCAAAACTATTCACTTTTTTTCATATACTTAAGTAGTTCCCGAGTTATAAAGGGGTGAACCTCCGCTTCAGCTATGTTAAAAAATTGGCAATATTGCCCATATACATTATCCAATGGTGAATGTACCTGTATACTAAGTTCACAGACCACCTTTGTGTTGCCAATTCGCTATTTGTTTTTATGAAAATGTTAAATGTAGAAATATCAGAATCAAAAAAGTGATACCGATGACAGAATTCGTACAATTCGAGTGCGAAGCGATTTAAATATATTGCACTGTATACACAAATTAGTACTGTACACATATTTGCCCTCTTTATACCCTTCACACTAGTGCGGTAAATGATATAATGTCATTATACCCTACACAACTATGTTGTCAGGGTATTATAGCTTTGTGCAGCCCCAAGAGTTTGAAACCCGCGAAATATTGGTCATAGACCCACCTTCAAGTATACCGATGGTCATATCTTGACTAGCTATGTCGATCTAAACATGTGTGTCCGTCCGTCTGTCCATTATAATTTGTAAACACGATACCGGCCACCGTTATGGACCAATCGTCACTAATTTTTGCTCGTAGGATTGTTTCTGGCCAATGAAGACCCCTATTGTTTTTGGTAAAGATCGGTTAATATTTAGGGGATGAAATAGACCAAAAACTAATTTTTTTTCGGTTTTTCTGGTCGCTCCAAAGGCAATTATCGCAATTATCGCCCGAACATCGTGTAGTAGGGGATCGGGCCAAAGAATGAGCATGTCAGTTTTGATAAAGATCGGTCAATATTTAGCGGGTCAAATAGACCCTGACTTTTGAGTGAAAAATGACAACATTTGTATTCTATGGCGTATATATTATCTCGAGATGGACATAGACCCGAGAAGTTGATAGTATATCCACGAGGAGTGGTTGAACTTTTAATTTATACCAATTGTATTGTCGTATGTACTCGGATGTGGGAGTTACATTTAAATATTTAGTAACCCATTACCACACTGGAAGGCGGAAATATAGCTCTGATCGCTTTAAAATTTTCCAGTTATGGTCAAGGACAACGCCTATAATTTTCGGTGATGATCATATAAGAAGATTGGAAGGAAATCGAAAACATAATTTTTTGTGTATATTGGAGTCGATTTATAGGCCACACACATTGTTCTTTACCTAATTCAATACGCTGTGGCAAATTTAGTGCAAATCGAAAGATATATAGTGACTTTGGTGCGCCATAAATCGGACGAAAATATATATGGAAGCTATATCTAAATTTGATCTAAATCGATTTATATGCCACAAGCCCAACATCACAACATAACCCAAGGTGAAGGGAATCTGGATAAGTAATAAACAGGGCTGTACTGAAAATAGTGCAAATATCACCAAATATTACCCTGGCTCAAAATAAACATCCGCAGAAAGATGGAGTACCGTGGTAGTTGTGTAGGGTATCGTATGTTCGGCCCCGTCCCACTATACTGCTCCGCTCACTGGTTGTACATATGTTTGTAACAGGCAAAGGAGCCATGGGTCATTCTGAGTCGATTTATGAATGTCACTGCGTCTGTCTGTGTGTCAATCCGTCCGTTGATGTTAAATTGTAAACAAAGTACAGGTCGCATTTATAATTCGATTTGGATGAAATTTGGTGAACAGCGGTTCAGATTTAGATAAAGCAAAGTGCAGAGTGCAAAGTGCACCTATATTTTCGTCCGATTCAATGTAGCAAAGTACATGTTTTTAAAGTGTAATGTTTTTATATACATAAAATTCATATGTATGTATATTGAAAAAATACTGTTTTTAGGTTTCAAGATAACAAAATGTACCACCATTACAGAAAACTGCTACAAATTCAATAACTTCTATACAAATATTGCCAGTTTTCAATCAGGAAGGCAGGAGAACACATTTCACACATATTTGTAGTGTTAAGCATAGAGCATACAAAAATCCAGGGGTTTCCTAATCTTAAAATTAGTTTATATTGCAGCTGCTATTCAAACTTCGCGTTGATAACTTTGGCAGGGGCAGCGAAGTGCCACGGGTCCAGCTATAC